AATACCTGATTTCTATCTTGCACCACCTAGAAAGATATCTTTGGAAAGGTTAGTCATCATAAGTGTTTCATAATGTACACTATACCTAATAAATATCTTTATATTTCTAACAGGTCTCTCCACAATCTTACAGCAGCTAAAAGTTATCAAAACAACCTGTACATATTAATGAGAATGAGCATGCGCCCTAAGATACACCACACGGCTGCTTCGGTCTTTGAGGTTAACTTCTAGAAATCAATCTCTTGACAGTTAAAAGATTAATCCTCCAGTTAATCCTTTTGGTTTTATCTTTTTGCCTTTTCTTTCTTCCAAAATTCGTCCCTCTTTCTTTTTTCATTTTATTTTATTATAATTTATGTGGGGTAATAAAAAAGGGCTGCTAGTCAAAATTGAAGGCTCTATTTATTTAGTGAAAGAATTCTTGTTTGGGATGATATTTCTTTTTCAATTCTCAATTAAAGTATATATATTCATGCTTTGTTTATATTAATGGCACATGGTCTTTAGTAGATTTAGTGAAGGCAAGTAAGTGGGTCTTTACGGTTAAGGTTTAGGTAATCTTGATGGTTCTTTGGCTCACCTTAAAACCCGATTGTCGCTAAGGGCTATGCTCAAATTTGTGGTACTGATTACTCTAAGACTTTCTCCCTGTGGCCGAACTTATTTCCGTCCAGTTCTTCTACCTATCCACGTCTTTTGGCTGATTTCTACACCAACCTGACATTAAGAATGTGTTTCTTCATAGCTTTCTTCAGGAATAAATTTACATGGAGCAATCACCCGGGTTTTGTTGCTCCGGGAAGTATGGAAAATATGTCGTCTTCATAAATCTCTATATGGGATGAAGCAAAGTCCCCAAGCTTGGTTCGACATACTTAGCCAAATTTTTTAAATACAGCTTGGTAAGCTGTAAATCCGACCATTCGATATTCTATAGACGATCGAATCTTTGGATATTTTTATTGCTTGTGTAAGTCGATGAAATTGTCATTATGGGGAATGATATTGATGTGATTTCAAATTTTAAACATTTCTTCATGAAAAATCTCAAACAAAGGACTTGGAACACTTGAAATATTTTATAGGTGTGGAAAAATAAGAGAGGTATTTTCCTTTAAAGCTTAAAGAAACTTGAAAATTTTGGGCTAAGACATGCAACGCTCCAATGACACCCAACTTGCAATTATGAAATGATGATGGTGAGTCATTTCATGATCCAGAACGATACCAAAGACTTGTAAGGAAGCTAAATTATTTCACCGTGTTGTAACACGTAGCTTTTGTTGTTGGTGTAGCTTTGATTTATGTCTTCTCTTATAGTTAGTTATTGGCACTTTTGGATATGGATTGTTTTATGGACGGCAAGGTGATCCAGAACATATTATGTACTATAAGAAAGGAGCTATAGGAAAGGAGCTCTTGGATATGGATTGTTTTATGGACGGCAAGGTGATCCGTCAGTAGACCACTTCTAATGGGGTCATCGAAGCATCTTGTGATGTTGATGACGCAGGTTGCAAAGATGATAGTAGATCAACTTCAAAAAATTGTATATTTGTAGGAGGTAATCTAGTCTCATGGAGAAGCAAGAAGCAAAATGTTGTCTCTTGTTCAGTTGTTGAGGCACAGTATAGGTCAATGACCGATTCAATACATCGATCATTAAAGGAGATTGTACTGTAATTTAATCTTCCAACAAAACTTTGGTGTGACAATGAAGCTGCGAACCATCAAAGAAGGTTTCATCTCTACAGGATAGATTAGGTCCGAAGATCAACTGGGAGGCATATTCACAAAGGTAAGACATGAAAAAATATTTGTAACAACTAACAAGATAGGCATATTTGAATATGCCCCTGCTTGAGGTTAGTGTTATTTTAAATATGGTATAGATTAGGATACCTTAATTAGGTGATACAGTGATCCCGTTAATTAACCAATTCTTTTTTCCTTGTTAACATTTTCTTTAAAAGAATATACACCTTGTAATCCCTACTATGAAATACAATATATCAATTTTACAGCTCTACAGATGTACATGCTATACTTAATGTAATACTTAAAGAGCATAAATATATTATATGTATATATTATTACTTAATTCATTGAAGTCCAAAGCTAGATATGAGTTTATTTAAGATGAGACCGTCTATTCAAGGATATCTCTTAGCAATCCAGTTTTGGACCAAAATTAACCTTGTGTCATTTTAAAGATGCTTTTAGCATTCATTTCATGCAAAATAGCATAACCTATATTCTCTTCAATCCTTCGAAATAAATTTTCTCCAGAGAATCTGATGCATTCAAATGCAGGTAAAGATGTGATGCCTAATGGTTTCTCGAAGTCATTCCAGTATTCTTCTCTACACATTCAATCTCTCTTATTTTCACAAAAGCATCAGGCTAACAAACCCAGCTGCATCTCAGTTCCCACAAGATAAGTTTCATATGATCATATCTTGTTCCCTTAGAAAACCTACAAATAACATGTCTAGACTTTCTACCAGGAGGAACCTGCTATGAGATAAAGTTGACAGTCCGTGAACTAAATTTCTTCCTAATTTTGTTGTCGAGACAAAAAAAGTAAATTATAACTCGCTCCAATGACCAATGCCTGTTTTCCTAGGCCAACAAGCTAACATATGCTGATTAAACATCACCAGGAGCTATACCTTGAAAAATATTCTTTTCCCATTAGTAAGGGTTCCTCGGAATAATAATTCCATTACCAAATACAAGGCATCTATTCCATAATCCATTGTAGCTTTTTCCTTCTGTAACAGCTAAGAAAATACCAAGTTTCTTAATTTTGCACGGTCCAAGTTTTAACAAACAAAGGCCAGTTAAAAACTGCTAAACTACAACAACTTAAATCACACCGAACAACACAACATCAGCTTACAAAAAAATAAAATAATAATAATAATGAAAAATAATTAATTAATTGACAAGGCATATTATTAAGTAAACTAACCAGAGCCTGCAGCAGTGACAGCCTGCCTGTACTTCTTATCCTGCACGTCACCAGCTGCGAAAACACCCTTGACGCTGGTCAATGTGGTTCCCGGCTTAGTGACCACATAACCATCGGAATCCAATTCCAGCTGCCCATCAAGAAACTTGGTAGCAGGCTCATGCCCAATAGCGAAAAACAAACCAGAAACATCCAAATCATAAGTCTCCCCAGAAGACACATTCTCCACCTTCAATCCCCCCAAGGTCCTCTCTCCATATGCTTCAGCCACCACCGAATTCCATAAGACCTCAATCTTCGGGTTCGACAGTGCTCTGCTCTGCATTATCTTGGAGGCACGAAATTCATTCCTCCTGTGAATAATGTAGACTTTGGAACCATACTTGGTCAAAAAATTAGCTTCTTCCATAGCGGAATCACCACCCCCTATGACGGCAAGTGGTTTGTTCCGAAAGATAGGGGCTGCTCCATCACACACAGCACAGGCTGATATGCCACGGTTCCAATAGGTATCCGAACCAGGGAAGCTGAGGCGCTTAGCTACCGCTCCAGTTGCTATGATTACAGAATCTGCCAGAACGGTTTTCGAGTCACTAATGATTTTGAAAGGAAACCCTGAGAAATCGACTGTAGAAACAGTTTCCGTGAATATTTGGGTGCCAAAGCGGACAGACTGAGCGCGGCACTTATCCATCAACTCGATTCCCCCAATCCCGTCGGGGAAACCGGGAAAATTCTCGACTTCCGAGGTGGTGGTGAGCTGCCCGCCGGGAGCAATGTCGTTGGCCATCCAACCTTCGAACAGAAGGGGTTTGAGCTCTGCACGGGCGGCGTAAATTGCGGCTGTG